AAATGAAATAGTGGCTGGCCAATTAGCTCAGTTGGTACAGTGTAGCCTTATAACACCAAGGCCAAGGGTTCAGATCTCTGTATTGGCCAGCTGTGGGGAAAAAAAAAAGAAAGAAAGAAAATGAAATTTATTGCTTACAGTTTCTGAGGCTGGAAAGTCCAAAGTCCATCTTCAATCCACTGCAGCATGTAAAATGCTGTTTTTTATTACTAGTGTTTTAATTTTATTTGTTTTTTCTCATCAGCTTTTTTATCTTATCATGAGAAGGTAGCCAAGGATTTCTAGACATCTGAGGAAAGTCTTTAACATGAAAGGTAGATAGCAAAACAAACAGAAAAAAGCAACTGAGAGAAAATTGAGACTGTATAAGAAGAAAAAACAATAGTACAACAAGATTATCATCAAGTTCCTCAGAGAAAAAAGAGATGACATGGCAACCATGAAACAAGGATAGAATGCTATTATAAGGAGTGTTCAGAGAGAAAAAAAGACGGTGGAAATTAAAAATATGATAGAAATGGAAAACAATAGAAGGATTGGGAAATAAAGGAGATGAAATTGCCTAGAAGATAGAGCAAAAAGAAAAAAGATAGAGACCGGTAGAAAAAAAGATTTTTAAAAAATTAGAGGACTAGTCTAGGAGATCTAGAATCTCCTTTCTAGATCCAGAAGGAAAGGACAAAGTAAACATAGTGGGAGACATTATTACTGAAAGAATTCAATAACATTTCTTAGACTGAGGCTCATGAGTTTCCTGATTGAAGGGGACCACCTGATTGAAAATGATCAGCCCAATGGATCAATANTCAGGTATTTATGTACATATAACTAAAATAAACCACCCTTTAGGTAGTTTTTTTTTTTTTTATTAAGTGAGATCTTTCTTCAGCAACAACGAGGCAGTTACTGTGAAGATAGTATATGTAAAATTGGTAGTGTTAGTTCCTTTTCCCAAATTATAATGGAAGACACTATTGTACTTGTAGCTCTAGGTATTTGGTATATCACAGACAAGATGTGCAAGAATTTGGAGAACATTTCGAAATAAATGGGAGCAATAGACACATTTAGCAACAATGAGGATAATGGAACTCACAATTTAAAAATTACATCATGTAAGTGAAAACAGCTTCAAAAAGTACCTCATAAGAGTTGTTGCATCATTATAGCTTGATTTATTTATTTTTTTGGCATGTGTCTGAATCCATTTATGTTGCTTATAACAAAGTACATGGAACTGGGTGATTTATAAAGAAAATGAAATAGTGGCTGGCCAATTAGCTCAGTTGGTACAGTGTAGCCTTATAACACCAAGG